AGCTAAAATAAGCCCCAAAAAATACTACTATTTTTGGGCTATTTTTTTTGAATTTTTTTAAAAAAATTATTTTTTCAATTCGTCTCATCGAACTAAATCTAGAAACTTAAATTTTTTAATTTGTTAATAAAGTCATTAAAGATAAAAATAAGTATATACAAAAAATAAAAAAACTACTAAATAAGTAAAGGGCTATTTGGAAAGTTCCAAATTAGTATACTTTTTGACTTTTTACGAAAATATTTGAAATGTAGGTTGGGATTAAAATGATATGATAAAGAAGTGATGTGATCAAAATAAAATGATGTGCTAAAATAACACATGTCAAACAATACCTAAATCTTAAATACCCACTTAAACTCACTCCACATCCAATCCAAATTCAACCCAACTCTATGTTTGTTCAGCATTACTGTTATCTAGGACTGAGCAAGAAATCCGTAAAATTCGTAATCCGATCCAGTCCAGTCCAATCCGATAGGTTTGGATTGGTTTTTGAATCCGTGGTTTGGTTCTGAATTGAAGAATTAAAAATCCGTAGTCCACGGATTGGTTCCGGATTGAATCCCACGGTTTCAGATTGGAACCGATCCGGACCGTATACAAATAGTCTATATTTTTATTATACATCATCATCCATAGTATCTTCTCTTATTTTATATAAAACCTAAACTCAAACCTAAACCCGTATAATATATTCTTTTATTACTTTTATTTGTTAGTTTTTAGTTATATATATATATATATATATACAAATATATAAACATTGGAACAATTTGTCTACCAGATGTATGTTTATATAAATACATATATTTTGCATATATACATATACACTTGTTTGGATTTTTAGCAAAGAATTGAAACCCAACATATATTTATATGTATATATTTCGCTGTCTGTTTGGATTTCAAAAATCAAACGTTACAGAGCACATTCTAGATCTACATTAACTAATCTAAAGCAAAAATTTGAACCTTGGGATGTTTTCTCATGAGTCCACCAGTGTCCTGTGTTGAAGACAAGGATGTCTGCATTTTTATATCTATCAGATGACCTCTCAATGAGATCAAGCCGAAGCGTTTCTTTCGTTGATCCATTTGTGTCTGGCATTTCCCATTCTTGAACCAAAAAGGTAGATCGAAAGAATTCCACTGAAAAATTATAGTCCTGTTCACACATCAGATCCAAAATCAGTAGAGAAAATTCATTTGACAAGAAATATTAACTTGATAAAAGGGCCAGTACTGCTTAGTTAGCTCTTGTAACTACTTCTCTAGCTTATGAAAGCTAGCATCAATGTTGATTTTCACATACCAAAAAAAAAAAAAAATACTCCCAAGAATGCAAAGCATAGAATACCCAAATCAAATACAAAAATGGAGAATGAAAAGCAAGAACCTACTGTGAATAGAAATGAGTATGAACCCTCTGTTCGGAATTGTTCTCTACCAGAGGCTTCAAAGACTTTGCTCTTATCTTTAACCGAATTTCTCAAGTACAAACCATTGACTCCCAGATATTTCTATTCAGAGAATCACCTACATACACTAACTGCTTTCCTCTCTCTCTCTCTTTCTCTCTGGTGTTTCGATCTGATGAGATAAGAGAGAACAAAAAATAAAAATAAAAATAAAAGTAAAAGTTGAATACTACAATCAAAGGGTATTTTTGTCTTTTTACGCTTAAATAAAAGGGTAATATGGTCATTTTGTATACAAAAGTAACGTCGTTTGTGTATAATTGACGGATTGGGGGAATTTGTACAATGTCAGGTAAAGTAAGGGAGGTTACTGTAATTATTGAAACTACAGGGGAGGTCCCTGTATTTGTCAAAAACCTCAGGGGAGGTGAGTGTAATTTACCCATGAATTTAAAATGTTAAAAAAATTGAAAAAAGCTAAAATAAGCCCCAAAAAATACTACTATTTTTGGGCTATTTTTTTTGAATTTTTTTAAAAAAATTATTTTTTCAATTCGTCTCATCGAACTAAATCTAGAAACTTAAATTTTTTAATTTGTTAATAAAGGTACTAAAGATAAAAATAAGTATATATAAAAAATAAAAAACAAAAAACTACCAAATAAGTAAAGGGCTGTTTGGGAAGTTCCAAATTAATATATTTTTTAACTTTTTACGAAAATATTTGAAATGTAAGTTGGGGTTAAAATGATACGATAAAAAAGTGATGTGATCAAAATAAAATGATGTGTTAAAATAACACATGTCAAACAACACCTAAATTTTAAATACCCACTTAAACTCAGTCCATATCCAATCCAAATTTAGCCAAACTCAATGTTTGCTTAGCATTACTATTATCGGCCTTGGATTAGAACCATTTGGGTCAAATAAAAAAGAATGCTGATATTTGATGACTCTCATTTAATAATATTCAATTAAATTTTAAAGGTGAAAATTTTACCATAGAATATAATGCCTCGTTTGATATGAGCATGGCGTACCTTGTTCGAGGGCAAATTATTTAATATTTTTGAAGTATTACGTATTTGTATTTTCTAATTAATTATCATTTAATATATTTTTTATGTTTTTCAATCACTCAACATGATACCTCATCTATCCACCGTCTCCACCTATCATAATATTATGAAATATTACGTGTTCATATTATGAAATTACTGAATAATTACCCTTGTTTGAGATCATACAAAGCTATAAAGTCAACTTTCTTCCCAATAAAAAAACAAATTAATTAAATATTGAAATATTGAATAATTTTGCATCAAATCCATGATCAAATTATCAAAAAACTCACACGAGAGAATATTAAAATTCTTAATAGTTAAATTGGGGTCTCTATCTCTTTTGAATATATTAATACAACTAACAAGATACTTTACATTTGCTTATAGTCATAATCGAAAAAGTTAAGAGATAAGGTAAGATTTTTTTTGACTGCGTATATATATATATATATTAAGATTAAGGCTTACTTTGAAAAATTAGTTAAAAGTTTTTTTTTTTTTTTTTTGGATTTTTTGGAGGGAGGGGGGAGGGGTGTTGGGGAAAAACGTGTAAAAAAAAATGTGAAAAATAAGTTAAAAGTCAAAATTTGACTTGTAACCAAGTTCCCAAATTAAGTGTGGATAGAATTGGATAGAGAAAATATTATGGGAACAAAAGTTGAGAAGTACGCATTTGTATACCACAAATCCGCTCACTTCACATTATTGCTATTATTGTTTTATCATTTTGTCCTTCAAGCAAATTATCATCTAGGATAAAAATTACACCTTTCGCTTTTTTTTTTTTTTTTTTTTGTGTGTGTGTGTGTGGATAATTGGGTATCTAGACACCTTTCTCTTACCACCGTTGATCTCAAATACTGTGACCTCCCTCTTTAGTCGCTCACCATTGTTAATCGCCAACCATCATGATAAACCCCCATCATCATCTATAAAAAAGGAAAGGGTTAGTGAAGGTGTAGGGCTAGGTTTTCACATTTGAAGGAGGAGGTGGGGCACAATAGAGATGAGGTTGAAGAAGGGATGATTGCAAAAGAAAAGAGTGGTGTATGTAAGAATGTTGGGGAGAGAAAGGATTGGATTAGTGTTGGAAGGCACTTGGAAAGGAGGAGATAGAGAGAGAAAGGGGTTGCAAAGGGTGTCGACATTGATACGAGTAGTAGGTGGTGGCTAATGGGGTTTGGTTTAGTTTTAGGATTTGATGGATGAAGGTGATGGTATTGTATTATAGGGATTAAGTGGTAAGGGTTGAGTAAAAATAAAAAATAAAATTATGTATCAAATAATGGTGTTAATTGAGATAAAATGATATATATATATATATATATAAAAGTTATGGAAAGTTGAAATAAATATTGAAAATAATAGTTAACAAGATTGAAAATTTTAAACTTATGGTAGTGTGATGGTATTATGGTAATGAAAATTACATAATTACATAATTAAATTAATCAAAGATAAAAATTGTCTATTTGATTTTTTTTATTGACCAGAGACTATTGCTCTCAACAATTATTGAAAAAATTAAAAGACAGTAGAGAAATGAAAAAATTATTTACCAAAAGGTGAGATGTAATATTTACTGTAATTTCTTTACACATAAAAAATTACACACCCCGTATATTTATAAGTATTTTTAATATTCTACATTCATTTGTAATTTTTCATAGTTTATTCCAAAAGTTCTACTCTTTCTCTTGGCAAAACTATCCGACCTAGTTTTATTTAATCCAATCCAATTTTAATAAAAAATATTTGGGGAGACCATTGTTAAATTATGGAGTTAGGAAAATCAAAACTCTCCGCATTAAAATAAAATATAAAATTATATCATAAAAATAAGGGTAAATTACAAATACATTTTTTGAGATTTGATTAAAATACGAATCACCTCATATGATTTTAAAAATTACATTTCACCTCCTGAGGTTTCTAATTTCATAATGAATCGTCATTTTTATTAATAAATCATTAAGAGAAGTAACAGTTTTTAATGATATTAAAAATATTTTTCAATTAATAATTTAAGTAATTTTATTATTATATAAAAGAACAATTATGAATTTTATTTTTTAATTAATTTTGTTAAATAAAAAATTCTAATAAAAGAATATTTTTAATTTTTCAAATCATAAGAAACAATTTATATTTTAAATAAACTTTAAAAAGGTGTATTTGTAATTTACCCTAAAAATAAATAAATTTAAAATTAAAACTCAAAAAAATCAGACTCATTCTCATCCAAACTCATGTTTAGGGTCGTTAATTCAGGTAATAATCATGGTCCCATGTTTAGACTTGATGCTCGAGTTAGCTGATGTTTGTATGAGTCAAACTCATGTACGGCCTACATACATAAATTTCAAACCCAAATATATTTGATTCTCAGTCAATCACTTTCTCAAGAGATCTATGGCGGATTTCCGTTACCTCTTCAAGATTTTGACTCTTCAATCTTTCTCTATTAATACGACAAGGTCAGTACCAAATTGTGGATTGAACTCTCTCTCTCTCTCTCTCTCTAGGGTTTTAATTTTCCTTGCCCTTTTTATATACAAGTGAGAGGGCAACAAGTAACCGTCTTCTATTAATGCTCTGTTTCTAGTTTGTATATGAACACATCTGATTGATATTTATGACTGTCTTGGTCTCATATTGACCATTTTTTTTTTTGGGGGGGGGTTGATTCTTGGGGTATTAGGGTTTTTGGTGATTTGGGTAATGTCAAAAATTGCTTTTTGTGATAATTTAGGATTTGGGTTGTGAAAATTGAGGAAAGTTTTTGAGGGGTTTTGAATAGCGGTGAAGAAAGACCCAAGTAGTTAAGTTAGTAGTTGGGATTTCGGGTTTGTGTTCACGAGAAAATGTAGGTTTGTCACAAGAAAGTTGCCGAGAAAATTCAGATTTTCAACTGCTTTGGTGACTGCTGATCTCTTTTTTGCTGATCCATTTGTGTTTGTCTGGGCTGTACAAAGTTTTTGTTCTGGTTAGAAAGAGAGAGAATTGAATTTGAATTTGCTTTCTTGTTGTTGTTTTTGTTTTCTCTTTTGTGTTTTTGAAATGAATCATTCAGCGGTTGCTGGGGATCGGAGGGAAGCGGTTGAAGTTACGAAGGACAGGAATGGAATTGATCAGGTTGTGCTTCGAAACCCTCGAGGGGCTTCAGCACAGGTTAGATCCTTCATCCTTGTTTCTCATGTAGTTTGGTTGCTGCATTTTGATTTTATTTGTTTTGAAGTGATCAAGCAAGATTTACACTTACCACACAAGAAGAATAAATAAATAAATAAACCTAGAATTGTCCTCAAAATTTTGCTATATTTATGTTGTTGATTTCTGTGCCGTCTGTCCAGGTTAGCTTGCATGGAGGACAGGTTCTTTCATGGAAGACTGACCGAAGCGAAGAGTTGTTATTCACAAGTAGTAAGGTGAACTTTCCAATCATGGTTTTAAATAAGAGTATCAAGATACATATTGGTATCGGCCATACAGTCATATATGAGCTAATATCTGACTATAATAGTGTTGGTTGATGTATCAGTGAATATTGGTATAAAAATCCAAAATCCCGATACATATCAGCTGATATTTAAAAGTTTCCAACTAGCTGTTTTTTATCCTGCCCTCTTTGGTATTCATAGCCACTGCAATTCAATTCATTGAAGTCCGAGAAATTCTTGAATTCTTCCAAACTCACTCATTCAATCAGACCCATTTTAGGCATGTGATATGTGACAATATCTGAAACTATTCAGGAAGATCTCATTTTTTCCCCTCATATGCATTTCTAGCCTCTTCTAAGTTCATATTTCCCGCTAACTATCAGACTCTGACTTATTTATGTCTACCTTTGACGTAGTAAATGTGAAGTATTAACTGATTATTTGGACTACAATAGTATTTTGGTAATTACTGTGTGTTGTGAGGTGTCTTTCATTTTGACGTTGTATTTTTTGGCTATGGTTTCGGTGTGAGAGTGTGACAGCATTGGAGAGTAGTTGAGTTGAGAGGTTCAAAGTTCTTTAATCCTTATTGCATAGTGGATTTGATCTCTTCCCCACCGTGGACATAGGCACATCTCTGAACCACATATATCTTGTGTTGTGTGTGTTTGATTTATTGCTTATTACTGTTTCATGATTGGAACACTGTTGTTTTCTCCTGTTCTTTGGGTTTCATCGGTTGTCAGGCGATTTTCAAGCCCCCAACTGCCGTGAGAGGAGGGATTCCGATTTGTTTTCCTCAGGTATTCTTATACTTATGGATGTTAAGACTTGTACAAGCCTTCACGATACTTATTGATGGGTTTGTTTCAATTTTTGTGTCAGTTTGGAAACCGTGGGTCACTGGAGCAACATGGATTTGCCCGGAATAAGATTTGGGTCATTGATGATAACGCTCCACCTCTGCACACCAACGATTCTGATGGCAAAACCTATGCTGATTTGCTATTCAAACCGTCTCAGGAAGATCTGAAGGTCTGGCCCCATAGGTATGATCTCAAAGGCTCGGTTACTTTTTCAATCTTTTCAATCAAATTCATCAATAGATGAACATTAAAATTTCAAGGAATACGAATCAATTCAGCATATATTTTTTATGTTTCATAAACTTCAAGCTGTGACTTTTCATGGAATGTATGTTAAATTGATTATGCAGACTGTATTTTTCAGTGACTTTTCGTGGAATGTTAAATTAATTATGTGGACTGTATTTTTCAGTTTTGAATTTCGTCTTAGGGTGTCTCTCACTGCTGATGGCTATCTCACCATGATATCTCGCATTAGGAATATCAATTGCAAGCCCTTTAGTTTCTCATTTGCCTACCATACCTACTTCTCCGTCTCTGATATCAGGTAATGTTCATAATATTCTTATTGAGGCAGGGTTAACTTCTATTTCACCATTTTTGTGGAAGTTTGCAGTACTACAAGGCTTATTCTTATTATTTTATTATTATTACTTTTTTGTGAGTTTTAAAAGATTTGCAAACTGATCTATGTTCAACAAGAACAAGCTGAACAAGTGGACTATCTTATAACAAATATTTAAAAATTACTGTTGTTTTACCTCATTTGTAAAGTTATTGTTCTTAATTTTTATTTTACTAAGGAATACATGGTAAATAGTTGTGGTTTCGCCCCTTGATTTGTCAAACTACAATATTTGAGTCTAGTCGTTCTCATAATTTACAAAATTATTAAAACTGTTGTTCATATTCTCCTTTTCATTTCGGGAGCTATTGTGCAACTTCTTTTCCTCTGGGTTACTCTTGAAACTATAAGAAACTTTATGACTCAATATCAAATTTATTGAACAACAATAGGTTGCAGGTCAAATCTTGATCAACAATCAGTTCAAACACGGCAGAAACTAGTGGTACTCTATTTTTTGTACCAGTGATAGGTTTTGCAAACTCACTTGTTTACCGTATATTCATATTCCAGTTATTGCTTCTGTAAAGTAACGGATTTTTTTCCCCTGGTGTGGCTTGAACTTTTATGTCATAAATTGTATTGACAGTGAAGTTAGGGTAGAGGGGTTGGAGACTCTTGACTACCTCGACAACTTATACCAGAGAGAGCGTTTTACTGAACAGGGGGATGCCTTAACATTTGAATCTGAGGTAAACCAATTTCTGATAACTAGAATTAGTGTAGTAGTGAAACATCTTTGATGCTTTAAGTAAGTTTTTTCAGGCTGTGTTTGGATCAAGGATTTGAAGGGAGACTTGTGGAGGGAAAGGAAAAAAGAAGAGATAATTGAAAAGAAAAGACAAGAAAAAGTCTATTTCGGTCAGTTTTCCCTCCACGGATTTCTCAAATTCTTGATCCAAGCATTGCCTTGGAGGCCTTCCTTTGATTAAAACACCTGGGATATGTCATCCCAATTATTTTCTAAATATTTTTGGAATGGTGATTATCATCTTGAAGAAATTAACAGTCAATAGATAATTTGATGGGTGTGCAAGCGGGTGGTTGGTGGTCATGTTTGCTTCCTTGTGTTTCTGAAGCAGATGGGGACTAGTTTAAAATTGTGGAAATGAATTTGTAATTTGGAACTTTCATTGTTCCTTGTTTATTATGGTTATTTTCATGCTATTTTCTTTTACATAATGTGGAAAACAGAAACCAAAAGAAAAAAAGGACATGAAACAAGAATCTGAAATTGACTTTTATTTTTATTTGATTTTTTTTGTTTATTGCACCTCTAAAGTCTCAACCTTTTGGTGCTTCATGACGAGGGTTCAGGGCATCAGTAGATATTGGAAATATTCAGATTTACACTGCTGTTGATAGAGTTGTATACCCGTTACCCTTAGCCGAGGGCACTTGCTTATGAGGTTGTCTAACTTGTAGGTGGATCGAGTTTATCTCAGTTCTTCCGATGTAATTGCAGTTTATGATCATGAGAAAAAGCGAACTTTTGTGATACGAAAGGATGGACTTCCAGATGTTGGTAAGTGTTATTTTCTTAAATCCTATGACAAAATATATATTTTTCATATAATACTTGGAAAAGTTAACCATGAAAGTCTTTAACGAAACTGTGCCGGCTCTGTAACTTCATACACATGTAGACCTCTTTAATGGCACAACATAATTGATACACCGCACATATAATCCTATGAGATTGTTTAAGGAAGATTATAATCCAGTGAACATGTTTCGCTGCACTGATTTGCTTAAAATTTCGACTTGTTCACATTTTCAACAATGCTTTTGAACAGTAGTTTGGAATCCATGGGAGAAGAAATCCAAGTCAATGGTAGATTTCGGGGATGAGGAGTACAAACAAATGCTTTGTGTTGATGGGGCAGCAATTGAGAAACCAATCACGTTGAAGCCGGGCGAGGAATGGACCGGCCGGTTGGAGCTGTCAGTCATGCTCTCAACGTAAGAGACCCGCAATTGAAATGATATCAATATCAATAAAAACCAGAAATACAATGGTACTTTTTTTTACTGTATTTGGCATGCAGAATAAGAACATGGTTGCATTATAATTTTCATACCATGAAAATGGAAATTCATGGAGATATATGTTCCAATATTTCTCCAATTGTCGAAGCAGGGATATTCGTTGTGTGTTTCCCTTAGTAGGCATGAATTCAACTATATATTGAGTATGTTGAACCAGACCAAAAATATGACTCTATTTGCTCTGTATGACTTGTAATACATATTTATATGGAATTTTCCCCACCAGATAACTGCAATACAAATTTGGGTTTTCCGGTGTAATAATCATCAGTAATGGAAATATTGTCAGGGTTGAGTTACATGATTCTGATGCCCCCACTATAAAGTTCGGATAAGAAACTACTTTGATAGGTAAAAGAATATCTTCTCAGGAGTTTACAGTAATTTGAATTCAAAGGAATAAGGTGTTTTCAAAATCTAATCTTTTCTATGATTGTAGATGAGGCTTTACCCAGAAAGCACATGTTGAAGATACCTTTTTTTTTGTTACTATGAAATTTTAATAATCAAAAAGATTTTCCATTGTTTCTAAATAATAAGCTTTTTCAGCATAATATTATAAGCACAAATTATACAAAACACTCACTCTCAAAATATAAATATTATAAACAATCATAGAAGAAGCATTATGGGAAAAACCAAAGGTTTGAATTAAAAAAAGTAAAAAAATAGTTCATTTTTGAGTTTAAAAAAAATAAAGAAATAGTTCATTTTCTCACCATGAAAACAAAAAGGCAATGAATTGATATTAAAAAGAGCAAGTTATTATTTTTTAAGATGACACGATCTAAATCTTCCTATTTAAATGAATAATTAAGACTTCTCTAATTTTATGGTCGAAATTGACCTAAAATAAGAAATTCCAAATTCAAGAAATCCAATTAATATGTACGAGTCGAATGGAAGATCCTAAAAATTCCAAATGCAACATTCTTTCCAACGATGGTGTCATTGGATGCCCCCAAAAGAAGCAGTTGCAAAAGTAAGAGAGAGGGTGGGGGGTGGTTTGAGACAAGCTGTCAATTTGTCACGATTCAAGTAGCTCCTCCACCTTCATCAATGAGCAAGCTAGGGCCTCAAATTGGCAATATGCAATCTTTGTCCTTTTTGAAATTCTATCTTGATAGGAGACTCATACCAACCACCTTTTACAAATTACAACTAGGATAATGATTATCTATCCCACCATACCATTGACCTCTTCATAAAGTCTATCATAAAAAAAAAATTAAAAATTTTAAAAAAAAGGTGGAAAATTTTAAAAAATCTCCTTATTACCATAGGTTGTGTTTTTTAAGAGTTTGTTTGACATATATTAAAATAGTATATATTATTTTATTTAAATTATATCACATTTTATTTAAATTACATTATTTTAATCATATTTATATTTTATATTTTTTTATAAAAAATTAAAATGTATATTAATTTGACACTTCTCAAACAATTATTAAAATATCTATCATAATTGGTTGTCATTTTAGATGAATTTAAAAAATTAGAATTCATCTTATCATAATTAGGGTATGATGAAACTTTTTGTGATTTAAAAATATAACGAGAAAATATAAACTAAAATTATTCCATTCCTAACTTTTTGATAATTAAATTATTTTTAATTATTTTTTGTCTTGCAAGAAGAAGATGAAGCAAGTACACTAATATTTTAAAATTTAAAAACTATAAATAACTCAAATAAGTTACACCAAATGAGGTCATAATATAAAATTTAAGTTGTAATGAGACGGTAATAGATTTATTTGTTACAACTTATTCTAAATTGAAAAAACTAATTAAACTAATTATCTATAAGCAAAATTTAAAAACCCCCTTCTCCAAATTTCAAGATGAAAAATGACTGAGAGCACTAAAAGTGGTGTTCTAATAGCACCACTAATGATGTGGCAGTGGGCTATACCTTTTTTTTTTTTTTTTTGTTTTTTTTTTCTTCTCTTAGTGATTTTTTTTTTTTTAAGTGGTATGAATCATTATTGATTTCAAGATAATAATTTTTTTTAAAAAAATAAAATTTATAAGTTATTTTTAATGCATAAACAATTAGTAAAAGAATATTGTTATTGAAGACAAAAAATTAAACTAAAATTTCAAAACCAGTGATGTGGCAATCAATTAGGCTATTAGAGACAACTCTCTCTATATCTTTTCTAATTATCAACCAAATCTATCATTTACACATTACTGAGTTTAAAAAATAAGTTTAGAAAGTTGGTTTATATATATCATTTTCCTTAGTAAAAAATTACAACGAACAAAATAATTTCACAAAATCTTAAAAAATATTTAGGGATTGTTTAGAATGATCTAAATAAATATATTTTTTTAATTTTTTATAAAAAAAAATATTAAAAAATAAAGAAGTAATATAATAAAAAAATTCACTTATAGACTGTACCCCAAATACTCCCTTATAATAAGCAACTCATTTAACCAGACAATAGAATAGAATTGAAACTGCTTATTGATCATTACATGACAACCCACATGGATAGTTTAACAAGGGGAGGTTCTACCTCATGGAATGTGAGTTTTCACCTCATGGAATGTTGGATTTTCATCTGTATAAACTCCCCCCAACTTCTTCATTACAGTAAAATTTCTCTCTCCTCCATAGAACACGCATGCATATTCTGCTTTTTCATCTTATCTTAAGGAAGCAACATCATTTCATGTTCTATCCATCTTGTGAGAACTGAGTGACTCACTGAGTAGTGGGTTGTCGCAGACTGAGTTGATTGACCTCTCAAATCACTCGAACACACCACTGTGTGAAGTAGTAGCAAAGTAATATAAAAATGTAAAAGTAGTAGCAAGCAAGCTCTGTTCCCTGTTTCTTTTCTCAGAAAATTCTTGGGTTCATCACTCAACCAAGAAAGTTCAAGAAACAAAGAAACAAAAAGCAAAACTTTGGTTTCTGATTCAAAACCTCACTCTTTTGACCACTCTGCTCAAAATTCAAACCCTCTCACCCTCCATTTTCAGACACCCCTCTCTTTTTTCCACGACAATAATCTAGGAATTTGATTCTCCTTCTTTTCCCTTTCCACTACACACACATCTATACATCTATGTGTATTTCTTCGTGTCTTAATTTCAGCTTTTCTTTGACAAACACCCCCCCCCCCCCCCCCCCCACCCAAAAAAAAAAAAAAAAACATAGATTTGGGGGCTCCAGAGTCTTGGAATGGGATTTTCCTACATTTTCTCTTTCATTTTCTTGGTGGGTTTGATTTTCCCACAAGGGTTTTCCCTTCTTGTTGAAGACAAGCAAGCATTACTTGATTTCTTGGAAAAATTTTCTCACTTGAGGTATATCAACTGGAATGAGTACTCCTCTGTGTGTAAGCACTGGACTGGCGTGACTTGCAGTGATGATGGGTCTCGAGTCATCGCCGTCCGATTACCCGGAGTCGGATTTCACGGCCACTTTCCGGTGAACACTCTCGGCCGCCTCTCGGAGCTTCAGATCTTGAGCCTCAGATCCAATGGTATCACTGGTTCTTTTCCTTCTGATCTCTACAATCTCAAAAAACTCTCATTTCTTTATCTTCAGTACAACAATTTTTCAGGTTCATTGCCATTCAATTTCTCTGTTTGGAACAATCTAACCATTGTTAATTTGTCCCACAATTCATTCAATGGTAGTGTACCCAATTCTATGTCGAATCTAACCCATCTCACAGCTTTGAATCTTGCTAACAACTCACTTTCTGGTGAAATACCCAATCTCTATTTACCAAATTTGGTGCAACTCAATTTATCTAATAACAATCTCACTGGCATTGTGCCCAAATCGCTTCAAAAGTTCCCTACTGGTGTGTTTGATGGCAACAATGTTTCGTTTTATAATAATTCAACTCCTTCTGGTTCACCTGTTCTTTCTTCATCCAGTCAAGAAAACCCGAAACCCAAAAATGTTGGAAAATTAAGCGAAACAGCTTTACTGGGGATTATAGTGGCTGGTTGTGTTGTGGGTTTGATTGGGTTTGTTGTGTTGTTGCTTGTTTGTTGCTTAAGAAGAAGAGGTGAGGATTTGTTTTCAGGGAAGTTGGAGAAAGGTGGAATGTCGCCTGAGAAAGCGATTTCACGGAGCCAAGATGCGAGTAATAGGTTGTTTTTCTTTGAGGGTTGTAACTATGCTTTTGATTTGGAGGATTTGTTGAGGGCCTCAGCTGAGGTATTGGGAAAGGGGACGTTTGGGATAGCTTATAAAGCAATTCTCGAGGACGCAAATATGGTGGTGGTGAAGAGGTTGAAGGAGGTTGGTGTTGGGAAGCGAGAGTTCGAGCAACAAATGCAGTTGGTTGGGAGTGTCAAGCATGAGAATGTGATCGAGCTAAGGGCGTATTACTATTCAAAGGATGAGAAGCTATTGGTGTATGATTATTGCAGCCAAGGAAGCGTTGCTGCAATGTTGCACGGTATGGTGCTATGTTCAACTACAACATTCTTTTTGTTTCTTGATTTTTTATTTTCGATTTTGCTTCTGTTGTGCTTCATAGACAACCTTCATTCATTATTTGCAATGCAATAGAATTAGATCAAAGCATGAAACTTTTTATTGGTACGTACGAGAGGGAAGAAATCACACCAAATTAAATCATCATGAACTTAGAATAAAGTTCTATCATTTTATTGAAGATGTAAGCTAAACAATTTGCACAACAGAATTGCAACTATAGTTGTTGAAACATCAAAACTTTTGGCAAATGTATATGCTATAAAGATGCTGATAAAAAAAAATAAAAAAAAGTATGCTATAGAAACAACCTTGCTAGCAGAAGTTCAACTAATTTCTTGAGATTTTTTTTTTTGATTTTAAACAAAATCTGATCTTAACAGAGTTATCGTGTACATATATTCGCACATAGTTTCCGAGAGATTTTTCTGACAAAGTTCTTTTACACTGCAACAATGTTTTGGGAGTTCAACTCTTCTCTCATTCTAGAAAAACAGTTCTGGCTGAAACATTCCTGCATTTTTAGGTTTGTAATATATTTTTGGTTAGCTAGACCCCTCATGTCCAGCTTCCCAGCGGATAGGGCTCCTTTGGTCCCACCCAAGGAGGATTGCTGTGGTTGGTTGCCCCTTCTGATTCACTTATGATTTTGCAGGTAGAAGTGGGGAGGATAGAATCCCATTAGATTGGGAAACCCGACTACAAATAGCCATCGGTGCAGCCAAAGGCATCACTCGGATCCATGCAGAGAATGGTGGGAAACTTGTTCACGGCAACATAAAATCCTCAAACATCTTCCTCAACTCTCAGAAGTACGGTTGTGTGTCAGATCTCGGGCTGTCAACAATAATGAGCCAACTAGCACCGCCAATTGCCCGTGCTGCCGGTTATCGAGCCCCAGAAGTGACCGACACTCGAAAAGCTTCACAACCGTCTGATGTCTACAGTTTTGGCGTGCTGTTATTAGAGCTCCTCACTGGCAAGTCCCCGGTCCATACCACATGTGGTGATGAGGTCATCCATTTGGTCCGGTGGGTCCACTCAGTAGTCAGAGAAGAATGGACAGCTGAAGTGTTTGACTTAGAGCTATTGAGGTATCCAAACATAGAGGAAGAGATGGTGGAGATGTTGCAAATAGCAATGGCATGTGTGGTGAGGATGCCGGACCAGAGGCCTAAAATGGTTGATGTGGTGAAAATGATTGAAAATGTCCAGCAGACGGATAATTATGTGAATCAGCTGTCATCTGAAGCCAAATCTGAAAATTCAATGCCACCAGAACTTGTTTCTGTGTTGGAATCCTCATCAAGCCCAAATTGAGTGACCATTTTGTCGCTGTTTGGCTCCAACTGTTTGTGTTGTAACTTGTGTTATCATTTCAACTTTCGACACATCTTTGAAATGTTGTTTGTTTCACCCTCTAGGTGAACTGAATTCTTGATGTTTTTGTAGACCCGATCTTGGTGAGTTTGGCCAGGTTATGCATCGATATATTAGCGTGCCTTTGGGCGCCTATCGGAAGTTATTTTGTGATCTGATTTACTCTGATCCATCTCTCTCAATCGATTGATGCAGTTATCTTATCAAAATGAGGGAGAAAACAGAAGAAGATTATTAACCTTGTCCACCTTGATTGGGAGAGAAAAAAAGAGGCCTTTATGTAAATCATATGATCTTATTAGATTTGTTTTTGAAATTGAAATTTCCATTCAAAACATATCAAAGCCAATCAAGATAAAAAGATGGGAATTTACACCATTTCTATTAGTGCTTTTGTCTCAAAGAACTAGTAAAGGTCTCGATTTATCATCATATATTATTGTGACACGTTACTGAATAAAGGCGGAGCTTGAAAATGTTAAGTAAATCTAAATAACAATTTATTAAGTGTTTTAGGCTGATATATTTAATAAAATCATATCATATATTTATAAAAATCAAATTGCTTTAATTTTTTAATAAATAATTTATACACATATTTTCACAAGAAGGTTAATTTAAAATATCAAACTGAACTTTTCTTCAACTCGATAAAAGCAAGATTTATTTTGAAAACAATAACAAGGGCACAATTCATTTTTCTCCCCCTCAAATTGTCCTACAAGCGAAAGGAAAAGGAAAAGGAAAAGGAAAGTGACTCCAAACAGGGGATAACAAAGGAATACGTCATTTTTTAATCCCAAATCCCAAACACTTGTATAAAAGAAAATGAATTGGGCAGGGAACACATCACAAATCTAATTTCAATCATTCCAGTTATTTATTTTTTAGATCACTTTATATAGATCATTTATATATAGAAAATCAAATTAATCCAATATGTGTAGTTACATAATATTATCTCATTTTTCTTTAGAATAATGAAAGACAAAAATAATTTAAAAATAAATTGTACATTTTATTGAAAACAAATATAATAAAATTATATAATTATAAATATTAATTTTTTGTGTAAATAATCAATACAAAATGACTTGAGATATAAATGACTCAAATAATCCAAATAATAATGGTAAGATACGAATCCAAAAAATACGGTCAAATCTTGAACCAGGCCTTTTATAAAAAGAAAAATATTAGAAATGTTAATAAAATTACCAAAAAAAAATTTAGGCCCCGTTTGTTTGGGGATTATAGGAAGGGGATTGAGACTACTAATACCTTGTGTCACGCCCCGACAATTTATGTGACACAAGGAGCAGCCTGGGCAATATGCTGAAGGCGCTGGAAGGTTCTGGAATGTGGGAGACCAACCTAGAGTATGCTGGAAAACTCTAGAACGTGGTAGAAGGGTCTAGAGTGGCCTGGAAGATTCCGGAATGTGGAAGAGGCTTGGAGTGTCCAGCAGAGCCTGGATGGGTCTGGAACATCCTAGATTATCTTGGAGAAGCCTACCATGTACTACACTAGTGTGGAGAGTTCTAGATTGTAGTAGATAGGGTAGTTGTCCTAGATAGTTCTATGGAATGTTCTAGATAAGAGTTTGTAGCCCTTGGATCAAAATGATCTGAGCCGTCCATTGAGGAGGGGGATGGCTATATAAGGGTGAGGGATCTCATTTGCTAGGCAACCTAGAGACCTGGAGATCCAAGAGAGCTCTAAGAGTGAAGCACTTGTGAGTGTGAGTGTGAGAGCCTTGTAAGCTTTGTACACGACTATACTTGTAAATGTTAACTTGTATAGTGAAGGCATTCTTCCACCTAAACTGTGTGTGTTAGTGTGGTTGAGTGGCATTTTTCCACCTAAACAGCGTGCGTTAGTGTGGTTGAGTGGGTAAGGCTGACTTAGGTGCAACCAAGAGGGTTGAGAGGCATCTAAGGCCGCACGGTAAGCTTGCGAAGTCTAAGTCTGTGACAGTTGGTATCAGAGCAAAGGTGTACATGGCTACGTCTAGCAACGAAGGGAACATCCCCAGAGTGAGGAAGCTCTCAACGAAGGAGTCGATGGCGGCATTGGAGGCGCGACTCGAGGGGATGATGGAGAGTGTGGTAGAGCGGTTCACTAGGCTTGAGGATGCGCTAGTTGGCCCTGGTAAGACCACATCTCATATCAGTGACTTTTTCTCCAATTTTGCTAGTTTGGTTGCTAGGGTGGAGATGCTGGAGGAGAAGGTAACCCAGCAGAAGGCCCAGGAAACAAGAGTAGCTAGCTTGGAGTTAGAGTTGGAGTTGTGCAAGAAGGCCATCGTCGCTGGCAATGGAGGGAATTTGGCTTCAGCCAGGAGGAAGGTTCGTGCGCCTAAGAGCTATGAGGGTGCGAGGGATGCCCGAGAGAGCCGTGCCAAAGGTGGGAGGTAGTCTCCTCAGACCACCGAGGATGAGCACAGTGAGGGCGAGGCCCAGAAGAGACGGGAACGCCGAAGGAAGGGGCAACGCACCGGATCTCCGAGGAATGGGGGTAGCTTGAGTGTTACCTGTGCAACAGACTGCACATGGTGAGAAACTGCCCGAAGAAGAAGAAGCAGCTGAGTGCCATAGAAAGGAAGGGAAAGAAGGAGGCGAGGGACTCCGAGAGTAAAGACCCTTCAGAGAAGGTGGCCCAGCTGGGGAGCATCCAACTTCTTGGGTCGATATCCCAGAAGGGTGGGGAGGTGCACATCCAAAAGAAGGATGAGCGGTGCGCGGAGGTGAAGGCCAAGGAGGAAACTTCACATGCGCAAGAGGAGAGAGGTGCCACTCTAAGGTTTGAGTGCACTGACGAGGCTAAGAGGCTGGGCTTGAACTGGAAAGGGCGGCTCGAGTGTTTCCTGTGCAACGGACCGCACATGGTGAAGGACTGCCCGGAGAGGAAGGCACTTTCAGGGACGTAGCGAAGTAGGTTGCATGGCAAGGACAAAGAGAAAGTACTTGCAGGGATGCAACAGAGTAGGCTGCATGGCAAGGGCGAAGAGGCAAGCTCCAGCAGCAGCGGACACAGATCATATCGAGACGTGGTGGCTCGGTATGCTTCTGCGTGACGAGGGCGTCACGGGATTGGGTGGGGGAGAGTGTCACGCCCCGACAATTTATGTGACACAAGGAGCAGCGTGGGCGAGGTGCCACTCTAAGGTTTGAGTGCACTGACGAGGCTAAAAGGCTGGGCTTGAACTGGAAGGGGCGGCTCGAGTGTTTCCTGTGCAACGGACCGCACATGGTGAAGGACTGCCCGGAGAGGAAGGCACTTTCAGGGACGTAGCGAAGTAGGTTGCATGGCAAGGACAAAGAGAAAGTACTTGCAGGGATGCAACAGAGTAGGCTGCATGGCAAGGGCGAAGAGGCAAGCTCCAGCAGCAGCGGACACAGATCATATCGAGACGTGGTGGCTCGGTATGCTTCTGCGTGACGAGGGCGTCACGGCATTGGGTGGGGAGAATGTCACGCCCCTTTAGATCACTTTATATAGATCATTTATATATAGAAAATCAAATTAATCCAATATGTGTAGTTACATAATTTTATCTCATTTTTCTTTAGAATAATGAAAGACAAAAATAATTTAAAAATAAATTGTACATTTTATTGAAAACAAATATAATAAAATTATATAATTATAAATATTAATTTTTTGTGTAAATAATCAATACAAAATGACTTGAGATATAAATGACTCAAATAATCCAAATAATAATGGTAAGATACGAATCCAAAAAATACGGTCAAATCTTGAACCAGGCCTTTTATAAAAAGAAAAATATTAGAAATGTTAATAAAATTACCAAAAAAAAATTTAGGCCCCGTTTGTTTGGGGATTATAGGAAGGGGATTGAGACTACTAATACCTTGTGTCACGCCCCGACAATTTATGTGACACAAGGAGCAGCGTGGGCAATATGCTGAAGGCGCTGGA